TTCTTTGAATTTATTTCTTATTTTGTCTTCAAAGATCTTAACTTACATAAGCTGTTAATGAAATGCTAAAAGAATATTTTAATGCATTTATGGCGATAACAGTCTAATTTTTAAACCCACTGTGAGTGTTATAAAGTAATCACGTTTCTACACTGCTGATTTTTGTTTCTGTGATTAATTTCACATTTTTAATACTTTTTATTTTTAATATAAAATTTTTAATACTTTCAATAAATAGAAATTAAAATTTTTTTAAAATTTTTATGCATAATTTTCAATGATTATTCCATGGTAAACTTGTTAACTACTTGTATAATTACTATATATGCCACTAATGTGTTGCTGTAAAACTATTTCATTGTCATGGAAGTAACTTGCATAAATTAATCTCAATTTTACATTATTTATTCTCTCTTTTATTTTTAATGTGCTCATCGATGTTAATATAAATAGAACAGTAAATTAATCAATTTGTAATTATACTTAGGTGTGTTATACTAATTTGAAAGCAAATTACAATGAAAATTTACGCGAGATATAATGCGGGATGGACTTGCATCCATACAATAAACAAATTACAAATATTTCTCAACACAAAATTGTTATAAAAATTAAATTATAATTTCGAAAGTCATTAAAATTCATTCATCTTAAACTTTATTACGATTGCTTATTAAATTTTTAAATATTTGCAGAATTTATAATTCAAATATTTTTTAAAAAGAAATTGAGTGCTTAATAGTTTAAAGAACAGAGTGAAAATTACAATTTTTATATAATGTAACTAGTGGTTCCCTTTCGATATAAAATTACGAACTATAATATAGAGAACAAAAACAAAAAAAAAAGAGAGAGAAATTGGAATAAAGAAAAGATTTCAACAAGGGTCAAAAAACCAAACATAAATAAAAAGGGCGATCGAAAAAAGTTAGATAATTGGAATTACTACAATATGTCTATATACACCAAGGTTTTGAAAGTTCAGTATGTAAGAGTTAGCATACGTTTTATAAAATTCAAATTCCATGGTATTAAATAGAAAACACTTTTTCACACAGTCTAAGCTTTTCAATTTTAAATAGCCACGATTACGATCTTAAATTTTAGTTCGGTCTCGATTTATGTATATATTTTTTGAGCTTGATATGAGTTCTTGACTCCGACATCAACAGACTTTGGAAAGAAAAAAAAAAATTTGAACATTTGACTCATTTACAATTCGAATTTTTGACTATGACTAATTAATCTACTTCGATTCTGATTTCTCGATTCCTACTCTTCAACTTCAACTTCTATACTACAAATTCTTCATTCCATTTCGGCAATTTTGCAATTTGAAATTAAATTAACATATCTTAAAAATTTTATAAAAATATTAAAGCTATTTCAAATTTATTTTAGTGACTCAATCATTGAATGTGCCACTACAATACGAGTAATATTCCAGATTGCCCATTACGTACGAACCATAGCCATGATCCTTTTCCGTTTTTTAATTTTTCTATGCTTTGCCCTCTTTCTTTTTGTTAGCACTATAATGTATGTATAAAGATCAAAATTAATAAAAAGAGTTTTAAAGAATTATAGAAATGGATTGGGAAAATGTGAATTTTAGTACACTATTGTACGGTCAAAGAAGAAATCATTTGATTTTCTATTTTGTAACATGCAACTTTAATGAAAAAAATAAAAGTTTATTGAAATCATGATATCCTTTTACAATTTTTATATGTAATTGAAATGATGATGGTTGTTATGTTGTATTAAAATGTTACAGGAATAAGCACAATAAATTTTTTGACGGTGGTTGCATTTTTAATACAAAAATTTAAGGAACAAATGAATGAATGGGAAAAATTTTAATGAAAATTTTTTGTTTTAGCTTAGCATAAATTATGAATTTCGCTATTAAGAAATATTTCAAATATTTTTTGAAGAGGAAAAAAGCAATTTCAAGTTTTTGAATCACGAAAATTAATTTAAAATTAAATTTAATTTTTTTTTTACATTTTAAGTCACTTGTAATGCTTTTTGAAGTTAACTTTTATGGGGTACTTGAAATGCACACCTGATTCTTTAATATGCCGGCGAAAAATCATTTCATTTTAATCATTTGTTTCACTTTTTCCTTGTTCTCATTTTTTCCAATGTCGTTTTTCTACACATTCAATTACATACTTGATATACTTAAGTAGAAAACGCCAGAAGTAAATTTGTAATGTTGAAATCAATTTTTAATTACTCTAATTACATAATATTGTGCACTTGAACTTCTCAATGAACTTGAACTTTTTACATTTCAGAAATCGAAATCAATACGGATAACATTTTGTCGTCTCCAGCATTCAACTTTTTGACGTAATTTTGTTCCATTTTCCTCTTGTACCGTTTATTATTCATTTCAATATTAATAACGTCAAATTAATGTTTGTTTCATGTCAAGTTACAATTTTCGAAATTTTTGATTTATGCCAGATTTAATTAATTTTTCTTTTTTCAAATAAATGCGTAATTAATTTTGAACAGAAATTGTTCATTCAACGGAAACAAGCAATTAAATCTTGTCAAAGTTCATTTAAAGCATATTTAAAGTATATTCCGTTTAAAAAATTTAAAATTATTTTTATTTTATTTTTTCTTAAAGGTGAGAATAAAATAAAATAAATTTTAAAATTTGAAGTTTTAAACTGTAAACCTTAATACTTTTAGCAAACAGAGTAACGTTTATTTGGGTCAGCTCCTTTCTATTGACTGTTTGCGATTAGGGGCATTTCGTGGTGAAATATAATCTGCTCAAACTGGGCTCTCTTTTGTAAAGATTCTTCCGGCATGGTGAGAAGACGGCCATACATATACAGTGGTACTATCTTTCTTTTGCCATCAGAGGGCTTGGATGGTTTGGACAAAACTTTATCAATGTTGAATAGCTTGCATCAAACTGCCTGACGAATATCTTTGAGATGTATTTGATTACTACTCTTCTTATACTCAATTACTGCTCCAATACTATCTATTTACCATTAAGTGAGATATTGGGGGCTACAATAAAATTGACTGCGGTGGTCGTGTTCCGTAATACTTTTACGCAATAATACCCCGTCCCCTAATGCGAGTTCTTACTAAAAAAATTTCATTCCACTAAAAGAAAATCAATTTAACAGGCTGTCTTAATTAATAATGCTAAAATTTTTTCCAGCTCATCTTCACATAAAGTTAATTGAATTTTCTCTCATAAAAATCAGCAATTAACAGTTAAAAATTTAACATAACTTACTTTTGTTTTCAACTTCCCTCTCTTGAAATATGGCGGCCGGTGCTGAACGCCTTTTTCATTTATCATACCTACCATATATTTTACCGTTTGTTATAAATCAATTTTCATTTCAATTTATTTTTGTAGCCCCTTCTTCTCTTTTCTCATTAATCGTCATGCTTTTCTTGCTTTATAACATTGTAAATTTGTAAAGTAATTTTTTCACCTATTTTGTGTTATCCTTGAAAATTCTTTTCTCGTTTTATAGTATTTTTGTATGGGAAACTAATTGGATTGTATATTTTTACAAGTTCGCAAATCATGTTCATTATAAAAAGAGCAACGCAACAAAAAAATCCCCAAATGAAAAATCTTTTTCGAAGGAAAATCTTTTCATGATGAAAAATTTAATGTTTTTCTATTTGTACACCACCATATGCTTTCCTTCAATCACTAAATTTTTTTGGTTTTTAATATTTTTTACATTTTTGTGAATAAGTACACTGTTTCTTTTACTTCATTAAAATTTAATTTTCCGGTATGAACGAAAAATTAGATCATGGCATTGTGCTGTTGTGTTTGTTAGAATTATGCTGATTATGTTGATTTTGATGATAATAAAATCGATGATGATGATAATGACGACGACTTTGAAATTATTCTAAAATTATAGATTTAAAATAAGAAATAAAAAAAAAATAAAAAAATTTTTAATGTTTTTCAAAAGAAGGTGATGGCCGGTAAAAATCTATGCAATATGTGAGAAAATCGTGCGTATTTGTAAATTCCAAAAAGGAAATTAAAATAGAAATTTAATAAAGTGGCTACTTTTAGCAAAGTTTAATTGATATTTTAAATAAGGTGAATGGGAAAAGAACGTTCTTTCAGATAATTGTTTGCCTTTGCCAGAAACAGGTCGAAAAATTTTAGAAAAATTTCAATGAATATTAAGAATTCAAGGGAATTACGGTATATTTACCTAGTATTGCGGTAGCAAGGGTGATAATCGCGCATAAATCTATTCAAAATATCGAGATTATACCGATTTTTTTAAATAAATATATGACAATTACTCTGTTCTTGGCTCATTGAAATTAGGCTTTATGCTTTAAGAAAAAAAACCCTGTTAAAAAAAGTGTAGCCATTTTTACGACATTTCATGAAATTTTTTGAAAGTTATTAATTCTCAATAGGTTTACACCAACAACATATATATTCATATTTTTAATAATTTAATACCATTTATTATCCTAATTGTCACAATTCATGTAACATTTTTAACACAGTTTCATCCTTTTATAACAAGAAATGTCAAATTTATCTCTCCCTTTTTTTTTTTGCTCTTTCCATATTACTTTGCTTTTATCATCTCATCATACTTCGTTGCCATTTTTAATATTTTATTAACACAAAGAAAAAACATGTAAACATTTTAAAAAATATGAAAACATTTAAAATAATTAACGTTTAATAAATAAAAAAGATCAAAGAGACTAAGAAAAAATTGGTAATTCAAAGGTTTTAGTTCAAATGGAATGATTAACAACAAGCAAAGAGATAGAGAAAAAAAAGGTTAAAGTTTAAGATCCGAAGCAACATCACCGAGAAAATATTCTTAACAAAATATAAAAAAAAGAAAATGTTTCTAAATTATTAATTTTTGTTCTCTCTTTAATAAAATAAAAAACAGTGAATGAGTAATCTTTTTAATTTAATTTTTTGTTTTTTTCTTCCTTTTTTATTTTAGATCATAATCGGCTTTTGAGTCAACAACAACAACAACATCAAAATGGTAATTTAAAGAATGGTAGTAACGCTATTAATGGTACTGTTAGCTCAAATCGTATAAAAGATAATAATTCAACAGTAATTGTTGCAACAAATACACCATTATCAGTTTGTAATGGTAATTCACCAACAGCTGGTACAAAATTACGTAATGGAAACATTAATTCAACAACAAATTCAACAACAACATCAAATCATGGTTCACCAAATAATTTACAAAAGGTAAAAGCAAAAAATATGCTAGTTATATTCACAAATTCTTAGTATTATAGCTAATCAGTTAAAATGTTTGTTTAGGCCAGTTTGAAACTGCTAGTGTTCTAAAATACAAAATTTGTAATTAATAACTTCAGGAAGCTCCAAACCTCATCTGTGACTGGGCTCTTGGCTGTGGTTTGACTACAAACCCACAAAAGATTGTGCTGGTGAATTTTAGTAGGAAATACAAGGTACCGAGCATAACTCCACCACAACTCAATGGTATTCGTTTAACCCTTAGCAGAGGGCCAGGTTCCTCGGTCTTATTCTTGATTCAAATCTGAACTGGAAGTCCATCATTATGGAGAGAGTAAGGAAAGCAACTATTGCGTTTTGCTCATGTAAAAGGGGCATCGGTAAGAGGTGGGACCTTAAACCTAACATGGTCTATTGGCTATACACCACGGTGGTCAGACCGATTCTAATGTATGGTGCTCTGGTATGATGGCCAGCGCTCCGTACAGCTGCGAACCTTAAACTGATAAGCAAACTTCAAAGAATGGCAATGGTCGGTATCGGTGGAGTGTAATGCTCCACCTCAACTCAGGCTCTTGAGATTCTCTTCCATTTGCCGCCATTAGACATACTGGGCCTGCAGAAGGCTACGGGATTCACAGTATGACCCATGGCCGCATCTCAGTGAACATGTGGCACAAGGGCAGATGCTTCCGTTCTTGCGGACTGAGGACACTTGATCCTGTTCCTCCTGTGCTCTCATTCACCAGCAACTTTGGTACTTCGATTTCGCCGAGGCAGACCTGCTTGCATGGAGGCGGTTTCGAGGGCGGGTCCGTCCATTTTTACACGGACGGATTTGAGCTTGTCAACACTGTAGGTGGGGGAGTCTATTCTGATCAGTTAGATGTTGAGCTCTTCTTCCGTCTACTGGACCACTGCAGTGTGTTTCAGGCAGAGATGGTCAGTATTTTCGCATATCGCCAGACCGCGTAGCGGCTTTAGAATCTGAGGTATCTACATCCAGAACGGTCTTAGAGTGCAGGTCGTGTGTGAACTGATTAAAGCATTTTGAATTTTAATAAAATTATAATCATTATGCAGGTTTCTATTAAGATTTATTATTCATCTATTAACATTCGCATTACTCAATGCCCTTATATGAAATTCGCGGCTGTATAGAAACAAACAACCCCGATTATTGAAGATTATTAGGTTGCAGTAATTTTGTAACTGTCTGATAGCTTTCAAACAAAAAACAGAAAACTTTCAGCATTTTATTTATCTATTGAATCTTTACGAGAAAACTTTACTGTTGCAGTTTACTTCATAAAGCATTTATTCTTAAAGCACTTAAATTTATGTAAACTCTTAAAAACTCTTCCACTGAAAAACCCTTTTCAGAATAGACTGCAATTAAAATTTTAATTTTACTGTCGAAAAATAAAAAAATTCAAATTTAGAACTTTTTTCTTTTGTTTTTCTCTATACTTATTTCAAAAATTAATATTCAAATATCCTTTTCTTTTTATAATCCTTCCGTTTATTTTTATTTCATTTTTTGTTTTTTCTCTGTTTTGTAATTTAAGTTAATCCCTCGCCTTTTATAGAACCGTGATACCAAAATATTTTGTTATATTTTTTAACAAATTCATTCTAATTATCTTATACAAATATACCAGAAAAACAACAAAAACAAACAAACAAAATTAAAAAATTTCCTCTTTAATGTCATAAATAGTAACAATATTATAAAAATAGCGAGAGAAAAAATTGGATTATTAAAAATTCCCTGAAGGTTTGTTGTAGCAGCAGCAGTGGCAGCAAGGAAACAAAAAAATTATTATTACAAAAGTTTTTAAGGAGAAAATTATTTTTATGGTTGTTTTTTTTTTTTGCTTTTTTTTACCTTAAGAAAGGATTAGGTAGTTATTTCAAGCTCTAACTGTTTTTCTTTTTTAATTTAATTACGGTTTTCCTGGCGAAATTTTCATAAATAAATATTAAAAATGAAAGCAAAGAAAAGAGAAAGAAAATTTCCTTTTGCCGGATATTAGGATTTGTTCATTAGGAACGGCTAATGAAATTGTTGTCTTGTCATTTAAAAATTTTTCTAAAGTCTGCGTTTGTTATTCATAATTGAATTTTTTTTTTGTTATTTTTTCTTTTTACATTGCACACATTTTTAAGACAACAAAGATTTTATTGCCTTCTGGTTCAGACAAAGATTTATAAACTTCCGGTAAGCTCAATTAATGAAAATAAAAGATTCTTTGGTGTCAAACGATTTGCAAATTTTGAAGAATTCTTTTGCTATTCCTTTTATATGCAGTGCAACTTCTTTGTCGTTTGAATCACTGTTTGGAGTAAAATTTTGAATTCTCTTTGACTGTCATTTCTTTTTAAGTTCATAATAAAAATGATGAGAAATACTGAGAATTTATACGTAGTATATATACATTTCATATTTTATAGGTGGCATTACGTAAAACAATGAGAAGAACAGAATTAAGAGCTTCAAAAAGTTTTCAAACGTAAATGCTATAATTGTATTTTATCAAAATTAACCTAAATTTCTTAAAATTTTGTACATTTTAATAAAATCTGTTGTTTATTAATAAAAATTTATTCATTTCTCTACAATAACTCTTTGCTTGTGTTTGTTTTCTCATGATCTTCTATTAGACTAAAGTAATAAATAAATATTTTTATAGAAATTAGTAAAATTTGAATAAAAAGGGTCTTTATGATAAAATTACTGAAAAACTAATTGGTCACATGCGAACCAAATCAAAAAGCAAATAAGAGCCAAGCAACCATAATTTTATAATTATAATCCTCGTTTCTAACAGTTTTTGTTCAAAGTGGCAACACTATTTCATGCCTATTTTAAAATTTCAGTTATATACTTAGTATAGTTTAATCGGCTAAATTTTGTTTTCACCAAGAATGAAGAAGAAATTAGGTTCAATTTACTATAAACTTCTTCCGTGTTAGCCAAAAGAAAGCACAAATCTAATGAATTTTTCTCTCGTTTCAAATATATTCCCTGAAATTGCATTTTTTTTTAAATCTTAAAAAGAACTTACCTTGTTTTTAGAATATGAAAAAAAAAATTAAAATCACTCTAAAAATAACTTATAAATTAAAAAAAAACTTAAGTACAAAATTTACCTCGCAATTTACCAATGTAATTATAATTTTTGCATCCATAATAGTTAAGGAACATTTGAAATTTGGTAACCTATTTTTTTCTTCCGTATTCTTGTTCAACTACAAATTTTAATGAACAAAGTCAAACAACAATTATAATTAAACACTTCATATCCTTATTTACCTAAGTTCTTAAAATCTATTTTCAACTACGCTGCATTCACTTGTAGAATTGTTGTAACCTATTATTAAATTGTAAGGATTATACAAAAGTCCTTTTTATTCTTTCATTGTTTCTTTTATTTCCTGATACTTGGTTTCTAGGTATTTTCCGGTTCTTGTTTTTTTTTTTTTTGGTTTTACTATTATGTATGAAATTATTTTTCATATCCTATTCGTTAGGAAGAATTTTTCCAGCCACACGTTTATTATGTAATATCCTTGTTTATTAAAGGTAAAAAAATTTTAATATTTAATATGAAAAATCTTGAACATCGTTTAACGCGATTACTGGCTAAACTACTTATATAAGAAAGCCAAGAGAATTTTAAGTGAATTTTTAAAAATTTAATTAAAGCAGGTTTGGTAGTCTTAGTATGATAATCGGTAGATATTTTCTTTCTTGCAACTAAAATTTTTTTAATTTCTTTTTTGTTTTTAGAAACACCTGCAATCTCAACATCATCAACCTGGTCAACAAAATGCAAAAATTTTACAATCACAACATTATCCAAAACAACAGCAGAGACATCACCAACAACAGCAGCAACTGCAGCAACTGCAGCAACAACAGCAGCAACAACAACAGCAGCAGCAAGAACAACAATTACATCAAGACCAAGATGAACAAGAGGAAAATGAAAAACAACAACAACAAGATCATCTTGAACAAGAACAAAATCAACATCATGGCGTTACAACAACAACAACAGCACAAAATAGTTGTAAAGCATCTTTATTGGATTTAAGTATACCAGAAGGCAATAAAAGTATTGAAGCACTTGGAGTACTTCTGCAGTACTTAGTCTATGATGTAAGTAAGAAAATGAAAAAAAAAAAAACAAAACAAGCAAAAAGTTAGAAAAACAAGAAATCAGAAATTAATTTTAGTTTTAAATTGTTATATTTACTTACTATTGTTATATTTACTTATTTAATTGTTATATTTATATATAGGTGATGTGTGTATAATATTTTTAGAATATTAAGAAGACTGAATTGTGGTATGCCATAATTCATCCATGGAAATTAATTTTTCATGGAATTAGTTTTGAACGCAATATTCTTTAATATTTCCATATTTTTGTCTAATAAGCTTTCAAAAAATCTTTTGAAAAACTTATTTTTGCATATCGCCCTACCTGTAAAGTTACAGTTCTGCAAATACGTAAAATCGCAAGTTTTTCCTAATTGCAATTCAATTTTTTAATTTTGGCCAAAGCTGTAGGAGGACCATGGTTTATGTTTTCTGCCATAAAAAGCACTTAAAACCAGTTTTTTTTGTAATTGTTGAAGTGAATTTTTTTCCTACACGGCAATTTTACGAACTTTCAGATTTCGATATATTTATTCATATCATAACTATTTCGCAAATTTTTGAAATTTTGCTATACTTTTTGCAAATCACTGGCATTTTATCCTCGCAAAATTTGAGGGAAATAATAGCACATTTCATTGCAGTGTGCAATTGCCTCTCCTTTTTCCATTGTATGCTAAAATGAGAATAAATCTAATGTTTTTCACTGTTATTCCTATACAAAATATTATTTTCTCCCTCACAAACATCACAATTTACTTTTTCTTCCTGCAAAAAGTTATCAAATTTTCACATCGTTTATACTTAATTCTCCACAGTCTTATTAATTTTCAAAAAAAAAAAAAAATAACAAGCTTTTAAAATATTTTATCATTGACTGAATGGTCGTGGTGTGATTGTAACTGTTTATCTGATGAAATCAAATCACAGTTGTAATAAAAACGGGAAGATATTTTGTTAATTTAGTATAGCGGCGATTGTGCAACAGCAATAACATTTGGCTGGTTGTAAAATTAAATTTATTGAAATACGTGATAACTTTGATAAAATGCCAAAAAAAAAAAAAACAATTTTTTTCACCATTAAAAAAATGCACCAGAAATGGTAGAAAAACAAATAAAAAAAAAGATTTTTTAGCTTAAGGAAATTTTTCACATTGGAATTTATTACAGAATGTTGAATTTTTTAAAAATGAACAAAAATCAGAATGGTTAATTAAATTTAGTGAATTAATTTAAAATAATGTATGTATAATGGAAAATATAATTATTTGGTGGTTTGTAATAAAAATTTACGACAATTAAAAAAGTAACCTTGAACACAAACCACTCACTGTAAAAACCCTTCGAAACTCATCATATTCTTTATGAATTCGTGTAATTAACAGAAAGTGATTAAAATTGCGATTCTCTTCTTAGGATAAGTTGTACTTGTATCTTATGTCTCACAACAAACGTTTCTAAAATCTTCATACTAACTAAAATCTTCGTAGGAGTATATTAGAATAAAAATAATTACTAATACTTGCTTTCGAATCGCGAAGAGTAATAATAAATAAATTTTGAATTCGATATTTTTATATTATTTTATGCTAGTATAAATAGTATAATACTTAATCCGTTTTCCAGACTGTTTAATGCAATTGGTACGTTTATGTTCAGTTAATTAGTTTTTAAATTTTGATAAAAAATTCCAGATCAAAGCTGTAATAATCTTATTTACCGACAATGTTCAAATTAGATATCCTTTTTCTATAATCCTTACCTACTTTTATGAATTGTTATCGTATACTCCGGTATTTTTGTAAAAAAATATACAAATTTCATGAATATTAAGCCGGTATTAATTTTCCATAAAATTATCAAATTCAATTAGTATTTGAGCATAATTAAGTGTATAAAACCGGTTTCTAGTATAAATTGCGACAGGATATTTTTAATATTTTTGAATATCGTTACAGTCATAAACTCTTTTCCTTTATTTACAATTGGAATCCATTTTATTCTCCTTATTTTATAACTTATTTTAACTTTTCACGTTTTACTTATATTGAAAAAATTTTTATAATAAAATTTTTAATATTGAAGAAGAAAGAGAACGCGCAATTTTTTTACAATTTTTATTTATTTTTTTTTGTTTTTCAAATTTTAAATTGCCTTACAGGAACCTACTCGTAAGATGTTTATCACGAGCGTTATGATAGCCAAAGTGTTAATAATTTTGGAAATATAAATGAGAAAGAGAGAAAAGGACAATTTTTGAAAAAGAGTGAGAAGAATTGTTATATTTTTTTGCTTTTTATTATATATTTGCGATTTTCGGCACGGCGCCACTTGAAAAATATTATTAAAAAAGAAAAAAAAACAACAAATATGTATACACGATAAGTCAAAAGGAAAAAGTTTTTGAGAGTAAAAGTACAATAAAAAAAAATTTATTAAGGTACCCACCTAACAATGAGCATTTTTTTTACCGAAAATTTTCAATTTTTCAGTATCGCAATAAAATCAAAAACTCGAATTGAAATTTACGAGATTAGTTTAAAAAATTTTCGAATTAAAAACAAAATGCGAATACGTGTGAATTCTCGAGGATAACTTGAGGTTATGATTTATCACTTGCCTTTTGCACTTCAAATGTATAATATTATCAGCTGTGCTATTCTATATAAAAGAATTGTTGTTGTATTGTTAGTTTTGTGTATATATACATTTGCTACTAACGTTCATATCACTAAAATTAAGTAAAAAAATGAAAACATTATTAACGTTCACTGATTACTCAAATTGTTCGCAATAATGCACATGCCCCTATATACTTATATATATGTACATATTTTTGTGTGACCATATTGTACGCCTAAATTCTGCCGTACATGTTTTGGGTTATTTATTTTTCTTTTTGAAAACAAAAATGAATATTTGTGCACATTGAAATTTTATTAATATTGGGCTCAAAATATTGCCCTTCTTTTTAGTATTCTTCTTTAGAAAAAAGCACAATAAATATGAGAAAACTTTTAAATGTCGTCAGCCTTTAAGTCTGATTCGTATACGCGAGATTTTTAGGTTTGTGAGCTTTGAACGTGAATAAGTAGATTTGATCGTGTTTATTCAATCATATGCTGTCATTAAGTGATTTTGTAAAATCTCAAAATAAATTTGAATACTGCTGCTTGTCGACAAATTTTTCGCAAATTACCTAATAGTTCTAAGTAAAATTTCGAAAATACATAAATAGAAATTTATAACAAAGTATGAAAATATGTTTGTTACGAATGTAATTTCAGATTTTTAGATACATGAAGTGTAGTGTCCTTGGATTTTTTATTTTTTTTTTTTCTTAAAATTGTTTATACAAAAAAAATTTAATGTTTTCTGTATTTGTTTTTTTTTTCTTGGTATTCCAAAAAGAATAATACAAAAATTTTTTATAATATTCTGTGGAGAATATTCTGTGTTCATTTAATTAAATTATTAAAAATATGAATTAATGAGATTTCTTGAGTAATAAATAACAAAATAAAAGTATATGTTTGCAATTGGGAAATCATTCGTGGTAAATTTACCATTGGACCTATTAATGTTGTTACACATGTGCCATAAAATTGATTCGTATAAATGATTTTATTGCAATTATAACTGAACGCGTTCAGTTCACACACGCAATAAGAATTTCTCCCTATTCATTTTAAATATTTTGATATTTGTGATGAAATTTACAGCAATTGTCAACCAAAAATACTCGTATGTACATATATGGAAAGTGAGTTCTCAATTTACTTTAATTTTATTCTCAATTATTTCTCTTAAAATTAATATACTTATGTATGTACACTCAATTTGCTTTGTTTGAAATATGAATTACTAAAAGTGAGTTTAAACTCAAGTGTTTGACAGAGAAGTGAAAAGAGTCAAAGTAGAAAGTATTGTTTTTGCCGTTAGAATTCATAAATTGTAAAACAATTTTCGAAAACATTTAATTTCGGTTTTCGGAAAACTACTCCATTACTTCCTTTCCCACTCCACCAATTGGTTGATTTGTTTTAATATTATATAATATTTATTCCTATTAAATTGGTCGAAAAAAGAACAACGAAAAGCGTTTTTTAGTATTACTTAATTAATTAGCGTAACAAAAATAATTTTATTCGAAATTAAGAATAATTTTGGCTTTTAATCTACGCAACGAATTTTAGAAAAATTAAAACATTGAATTATTTTATGATTTTTTTATAACTCAATTGTAATTATTGCCAAATAATTTTAATTTTAACCTTTACAATCAAATTATTTGGCAGAGTTTTGAAAGACTTTTGTATGTTGTTGGATGAGTGTGATATAAAATATGTGTGACAAGTTGTATGACATCTAAAAACACTGTTTCTTTTTATTTTTGATTAAAATCTAAGTACAATTTTAATTCTTTTCAATTTTTTTATGTTTCAAATTAATTTTAAATAAAAATTAATTTGCCGCCAAGAAAAAGATTTTCGATATCTTTTATGATGAAAAATTTGATTAATAATTTGAGCGATATTCTATGGTAACTAATTCTTAGCTGTAATAGAGAAATCAAAAAAATATTGTGAATTAGTTTTTGCGCTTCATTGAAATCAAATAGGATTCTTAGAGCTATTAAATTTTTGTGAGTCAAAGTTTTGAAAAAAAAAAAATGATTGACAAGAATTTGTAATTTTAAAGTCTTAACAATTTTTAAATTATTTTGAAAAATTTTTTTAAATTCAAATATTTAAGAAGAATTCGAAATGCTTCTTCTACGAAACAAGCACCTCACTTTGACGTTTTTACATAGGACTTTTAATCAAAAAATATTGCAATTATCAAAACGAAATAAATCAGAAATTAAACCGATTAAATCGATTTTAGTTGCAAATCGTGGTGAAATAGCAATACGAGTATTTCGAGCATGTTCTGAGCTCGGTATTAGATCAGTTGCAATTTATTCGGAACAAGATAGAATGCATATGCATCGTTCTAAAGCAGATGAAGCGTATTTAATTGGTAAAGGAATGAGTCCAGTTGAAGCATATTTAAATATTCCAGAAATAATTCGTATATGTAAAGAAAATTGTATTGATGCAGTACATCCTGGTTATGGTTTTTTGTCAGAAAGATCTGACTTTGTTAAGGAATTGACAAAAAATGATATACGTTTTATAGGACCACCACAAAATGTTGTTAAGCAAATGGGTGATAAAGTAGAAGCACGTTTTGCAGCAGTTAAAGCAAATATACCTATAATACCGGGTACTGACAAGCCGATTACAAAAAAAGAAGAATGCATTGAATTCTGTGAAAAACATAATCTACCAATAATTTTAAAAGCTGCATATGGAGGTGGTGGTCGTGGCATGAGAATTGTTCGTGATATGGAAAATATATCGGAATTATTTGAATTAGCAAGCTCTGAAGCGAAAACAGCATTTGGTAATGGTGCAATGTTTATTGAAAAATTAATCGAAAATCCTCGACATATTGAAGTACAAATCTTAGGTGATAAATATGGCAATATAGTACATTTATATGAAAGAGATTGTTCGGTGCAAAGACGTCATCAAAAAGTTATTGAAATAGCACCAGCACCGAATTTATCGAAAATTACACGTGATAAAATTACTGAAGCAGCTGTTAGTCTAACAAAACACGTTAATTATGAGAATGCCGGAACTGTAGAATTCTTATTAGATAAGAATAATAATTTCTATTTTATAGAAGTCAATGCAAGATTACAAGTTGAACATACAATAACTGAGGAAATAACTGGAGTTGATTTAGTTCAATCACAAATTCGAATAGCAGAAGGATGCTCATTATCTGATCTTTGTTTAACTCAAGATAAAATTAATACTTGGGGCTTTGCTATACAATGTCGTGTTACAACTGAAGATCCTACCAAAGATTTTCAACCAAATTCTGGTCGAATATCTGTTTATAGAACTGGTGAAGGTATGGGAATAAGATTAGATGGAACTTCAACATACCCGGGTGCAATAATTACAACATTTTATGATTCTTTGTTATGTAAAGTGATTGCTCACTCTGGAAATTTAAAAAGTACTGCAGCAAAATTATGTCGTGCTTTAACTGAATTTCGTGTAAGAGGTGTTAAAACAAATATTCCATTTCTATTGAATGTTCTTAAACACAAAAAATTTTTGAATGAAATTGTAAACACAAATTTTATTGAATCACATCCAGAACTTTTTATATTTGATGTTTCACAGAATCGTGCTCAGAAATTATTAACATATATAGCAATGATTTTAATAAATGGACCACAAACCCCGTTATCTACGAATTTATTGCCAGCGAATATTACTCCAGATATACCACAAATATTAAATTGCGTTGGTAAGAAACAAGAAAATGATGCTTGTCCACCGAAAGGTTTTCGGGATACATTATTATGTGAAGGTCCAGAGGGTTTCGCAAGAAGAATTCGTTGTAATCCGAATCTTATGTTAATGGACACAACATTTCGAGATGCTCATCAATCCCTTTTAGCAACCAGAGTTCGAACATACGACATTTTAAATATATGTCCATTTGTAGCACACAAATTTTATAATCTTTATGCTTTAGAAAATTGGGGTGGTGCAACTTTTGATGTATCATTGCGTTTTCTGCACGAATGTCCATGGGAAAGATTGGTTGAAATGCGAAACTTAATACCGAATATACCATTTCAAATGCTTTTACGTGGAGCTAATACTGTTGGGTACACAAATTATCCAGATAATGTAGTTTTTAAGTTTTGTGATTTAGCTGTTCAAGCTGGGATGGATATATTTCGTATTTTTGATAGTTTAAATTATCTTCCTAATATTATTTTAGGAATGGAAGCTGTTGGAAAAGCTGGTGGTGTAATCGAAGCTGCAATATCATATACGGGAGATATAAGTGATCCAACAAAAACTAAATATGATTTGAAATATTACATGAATTTAGCTGATGATCTTATCAAAGCGGGCACTCATATACTTGCGATTAAAGATATGGCTGGCTTATTAAAACCAGAAGCAGCAAAAATACTTATATGTACACTCCGAGAAAAATACCCCAATATTCCGATTCACGTTCATACACATGATACTGCTGGTCTTGGTGTTGCTACACTTTTGATTTGTGCAGAATCCGGGGCTGATATTGTTGACGTGGCAATAGATTCAATGTCTGGAATGACATCACAACCGAGCATGGGAGCAATTGTAGCTTCATTACAAGGAACTAATGTAGATCCTAAAATTAATTTAAATGATATATCGCAATATTCAGCTTATTGGGAGCAAACTCGTACATTATATGCTCCTTTCGAGTGCACATCAACAATGAAATCAGGCAATGCTGATGTATACATGCATGAAATACCAGGTGGACAATATACAAATTTACAATTTCAAGCATTCTCTCTTGGATTAGGGCAACAATTTGAACAAATTAAAAATGCATATAGAGAAGCAAATTTAATTTTAGGTGATATTATCAAGGTCACACCATCGTCTAAAGTGGTTGGTGATTTGGCTCAATTTATGGTTCAAAATAAATTAAGTTATGATGATGTTCTTAATAGAGCCAAAGAATTATCTTTTCCAAAATCAGTTATTGAATTTTTACAGGGATACTTAGGTGTACCACATGGAGGATTTCCAGAACCATTTAGATCAAATGTTTTAAAAGATATAGAACGAATTGAAGGACGTCCCGGTCAAAATATGAAATCATTAAATTTCGATGAACTTAAAAATCAACTAAAAGATTCTTTCACCGAAATAAATGATTTTGATGTAATGTCAGCCGCGCTCTATCCAGATGTTACAAAAGATTATCTTAGTTTTAAAAATAAATATGGTCCCGTTACAAAATTAAATACAAGAGTTTTTTTTACTGGACCAAATATTGGAGAAGAAATTGATGTTATGCTGGAAATTGGTAAAAATATACATATAAAAGTTGTTGCAATTGGTAATGATTTAACGGAAAACGGTGAACGTGAAATTTTTTTTGAAATGAATGGTCAATTAAGATCTGTTTTCATATCAGATACGAAAGTTGCTGTTAATTTAAAAATTCATCCAAAAGCATCTAAAACAAATACAAATGAAATTGGTGCACCAATGCCTGGTACAATTTTAGATATACAAATAAAACCGGGTGATAAAGTTCAAAAAGGTCAAACAATAATCATTTTGTCAGCTATGAAAATGGAAACAATTGTTCAAGCACCAAAAGATGGTATTATTAAAAGTATTGAAGTTGTAAATGGTATGAAAGTTGAAGGTGATGATTTACTTGCCATCTATGAACAATAATTGAAAGTGTCGTAATATGTGAAGCGTCTGTACAAAATGTCAAAACGAAAACACATTAAAAAAATATAAATTGCTAATAATTTTTAAAATTATTTATGAAATTTTATTGATCACAACCAGTTGACTATTAAATATTTAGATAAACTTACAGTTTCTCTTTTAGACCCTGAAATTAAACGTTTGAAATTTTATAGGCACGAAATAATTATACTCAAACGATTTTAAAAATTTGGTCCGTCCGATCTTAATTGTTATTCTTATGTCAATTATAATTCGTAAATATTTGAAAACTGTTACGAAAACAAATATGAAAGGATTAAGAATAAAATTGGAAAAATTTTATATTGAAATTGAAAAAGAAAACGGTAAACTGGGGTGTTGACGTTACGCCTTTATTAGTGGTTAAAAATTTTAATATTTTTTTTTTAAATATAAAATTTCCTTTTTATAAGTTTTTAAAAAGCATTACATAGTTCTGAAATGTTTCTTTCAAATATTTTTGCTTTTAAATCTCTAAAAGTACATGTAAATTTCGAGCTCTCACTATTCCACTTAAGAAGTGATGGCATGAAATAAACCCCAAATTAATGATATTCAAATTTTATCTCTTTTTTTTTAATTGTAAGACGAAATATTCAATTATTTCGAAATAACGTTTCTAGTTGTAGATTGAATAGTGTATGTTGTGTAAATCGTGCAATATACAAACGCTTCCTAATTTCTACGGTTGAGAAAAATTGGAATATTTTGGAAGTGAACAAATGCACGTTTCAAAACATTGGTGTATTCTTATATCTAAAGCCCGATAAACTTATTTATAGAACGAGATTCCATAATTCCACGTTATAAAAACAATTTCAATTTTCAGATGTAATTTTGATAGAGACTAAGAATACTTTCAAAATTTAAGTCCATCGATTTAAATTCTCAATTATTTCTCTAATTTTCTAATTTGATATTATTTCATTGCGCCAATTTTCAATTGCTAATCAATTTACCGTAAATAATTTCATGATTGTATGGTACAATTTAAACAATATACATTTACAATTACTACTCATGTATGTGTTTGTAAAAACTTTGAATTTTTTAATAACGTTAAAATTAAAATTTTGTTTTGCATTGTTTTGTAACTTTCACATAAATTATTTTATTAAATGTAAAACAGGTTGCTTAAAAATATCAAAAGAAGAAATGAAAGGAAAATATTTTCTATATCCCTAGTAAAATTTAATACCAAATTATTATTTTATTTTTAAAATACCAATCTGTTATAAGTATAGGTACTTATAAAAGTATTTGTTATAATCAGATATGCATGTATTAAGGAATTCGTGGCAATTTTATTGAAAAGTATAATTTTCAAAATTTCTTAACAATTGTGTTTGTACCTAAACCTTATTTAGAATTTCAAATGCAAAGCGCATAAATAAAGCGGATTTTATAAAAACAAAAAATTTTTTTTTATTACCTTTAAGGAATATTATAATTTTACTATTTATCTACCTGTTTATTAAAAATTACCTTATGGTTTTAAAGTATTGCATATTTTCATAGTAAAAATTTTGTATACCTACTCGAAGGTTTTTGTGAAAATTTTCCTACCATAAAATTCTTTACAATAAAAATATTTTATTTAAAATTTTAAATAATAATAATTTTGTAGGTAAAATTTAGTAAATCTACGAAAATTTTAATTTTAAATTTTTTTCAAAACGGAAAAACAAATCAGTTTTGATTTTATCGTCGAACCGTGTAGAGCAAATTTAATTTTATAAAGGATTACTTATTACGGAACAACGAAATTACGGAAAATTTTAAATTTAATTTATTGAAAAAAATCTGTAATACGAATAATTAAAAATATAAAAGAATTATTTTGTGATTAAGCCCGATAAAGGCTAATAAAGCTTAACTTTGAAATCTTAGTGAAGACAAGATCAAGAGAAGTTATCAAGAATTTTTGTTAATAGTTAATATCAAAAATGGATTTATCAAGTGTTCCCTGTTTAATGGATATAGATCCTTGGGAGGTAATTATTCAAAAAAATTCATATTTTAAATGAAACAGGGTTTCTTCTAAAACTTTGTGTCAAAAATGAAATTACAAATAACAGTGTTTTCAAAAATGTAGGTTTAACCTCATATTGATAATTTTGCGAAAAAAATGTCCAAACTGTCAAAAAAATGTATTTAAATAAAGCAGGTTTAATTTAAGGCTAGCATATTAGTAACTACTTATTGCCTATTGGAAATTGCAGTTCAAATGAAATTTTTTACGCTGCACGCTAATTGTTTCGGCAGCTTCATTCTGTCATGTAGTTTTGTAGTTATTCCAAAAACAATCTGAATTAGAAATAATGGGATGTTTGGCTTGACTGCGTGCAATTAATAATTTTATCTGATGCTTTGTTAAGAATTTATAACCAGGAAATTCTAAATCCAAATTTTATACTTAAGAAAAAAAATTCCAATTTTGTTTAAACACGAAATTGTGAATATCAATTTTTATCTAATTTTTATTACCTGGAAATACCTTTACCTTTTCTTAAAATCTAATCTATTGAAAATTTTAAAGGGACTCAAAAATTTTCTGTTAAAATGCATTTATTTTAGATCCTTACGTTTTATTATTTTGAATACAAAAATTTTATTATAGTTTTAGTTTGCTTTTATTATCTTCTTTTCAAATAAATTGTTATTCTTCATTTTGAGTATATTGTAAAATTATTCTTTATTATTAAGTTAGGTAGGAAGGTGTAAATTACCCATACAATTTCGAATTTGAGGTTCTTACAATTTATTTGTTAGAATTTGTTCATGAATTACTTTGATTTCCATTTGGGTTTTATAGAAAATTTCACATAATCTAAGTAAGTTTCAATTTTTATACCAGACAAATAAATAAAATTATTTTAAATCACAAATTTATTTATGAAAGTTTATTTTATACAAAATCTAATTTTAATAATGGTAAGTCAGGACTAGTTGAATATTTGAAAATTTTGCTGGTTAAAGAAACAAATTTGCAAACAACTCAAATAAGTGCGTAATTTTTACCTTAATATCGAAAAATTAGTTATCAATTCCCAACCCAAAATCGTGCAATTCCGTTAAAACATTGACAATAATCATTCTTAATTTAGTAACCGGGAAATTCGAAATTAAAATTCCTTCCTATTTAGTCAAAAATATCTTACTATTTTAAAGTGAATACTAGTCTTAAGTAGTATGCAATTTCTTTCTAATTAGATTGAAAAATTAATACATTCTAATTTATAAAATAAATTTTTGTTTTTAGCTTGACGCTTTTACTTGTCCTTCAATCAAAAATGATTACCAGCAAGCGCAAAAAACTCTATTACAAACACAATCATTATTGGATGATGCTAGAACAACTTGTCATGATTTACAAGATCAGTTGCTCGATAAAGAACATTATTATATGACCAGAGAACAAGAATTGCAGGCATTACATAGATGTGAATTAACCAAAGGTAACAATATCTTAAAAAATATATTTTGATATACATAAATCTAAATTTAATTTTAATTTATTTTTAAATTTTAGTTGAAACATCTTTAATTGATTTCCAAACCAATGCAAATGAACGTATTTCTATGTTAAAATCTGAGTTATTAAATAAAGATGAAGAGAATAAGAAAAAATTGGAATTATTTCAACAGCAATCTGAATTAAAAATTCAACAATTAGAAAAGGATTTACAAAGATCACGATCAAATGAAAATGATTTATTAAAACGTATTGAAATTTTAACAGCAAATGAAAATGAATTACGAGATCGTATACAAGACAGTGAAGATAATTATGCTAAACGTTTACAAAGTGGTGTACAACGTGAACGTGACTTAAATGATAAAATATCATTACTTACAAAACAATTAGAAATTATGCGTCTCGAATCTGAACAAAGAGAACGTGAACTTGAAGAAAAATTTAATTTATCACAAAATGAATTAACAATAATTAGAAATCAAAATTTATTGGTATCATTAAATAATACAAATTCATCATCAAATAGTAGTAATGATGATATTAAAATTAAATCACCAAAAACTGCACATGGTAATGCTAATGGCTGTTCAACAGTAATGTCATTATCTATGTCATCAAATAGTAATAGTAACAGAGTACAAATGTTAGAGAATGAAGTTGAAAGTTTAAGAAGTGTTATGGATATTAAATTAAATGATATTTGTGAATTAAGAAAGAAAAATCAAGAGTTATTGAGAGCAACCGAAGAATTTGAGGCATTAAAAATTAAATATTCAGGAATGGAATCAAGACTAGAAGATTTGCAAATTCAATTAAGAGCTAAAGATGAAGAAAAACAGTGAGTGCTCTTGTTAAAAAAACTTATTAATACAGAAAATTAATGTTTTTATCTTTTTTTTTAGGGAATTGCTATCTAAAATCAAACATTTACAAGAAACATGCGCCCAAGAAGCTAAAAACCGTACCAGGGTACTACTCCATAATGAAGAATTACAATATCGCCTTAAACAAAATTCAGAAAAATTCAATGCATTTGTTGCAGAACTTTCTAAAACAGAATATATGTCAAGCTCAAAAGGTTCATTATTATTAAGTCAAGATAACGCAGATTTGAGTCAAAATTCTAGTCTTAATTCAACTACCAACACGTCGTTGAGAGCGAATGGATGTCCAATGACAGGATTAACTTTTGAAGAAGAAGATGAATCACCTCCTGGTTCTCCAATAATTAAAGGGGTTGTAAAGAAAAGTGATTCTGTATCATGGGTCTTACAAATGGATGATGAATTACCAGAAGTGGTAGCGTCACGTATGGTAAAACGCGCTGGATCTTTTAGATCTAGCTTTAATGAAAAACTTCAAAACGCTAAGAGGCAATTATCGCTGCCAGCTGGGCAACCTTCAGTTAATGGTAGTGGTACTAGTAATAATATATTAAATTCCGGAAATAATCCTGGTATTAATCCATTGCAACAATCAGCTTCAGCGACCATGTTGAATCCCCAAAACCAAACAATACCACATCAGCGGCAACATTCCAACAGTGAAAGTGAATATGGCACAATATCTTCACCAAGAGTGCGTTCAAAATCAATTAATATTAAAGGGTGTGATCAAAAGAAGCAATCAAAACAAACTTCACATGGATCATCTTCAAAGAAATGTGATTCACTAAGCTCGTGGAAAGAACCAATTTGTTCAAGTTCACCATACGCGCGTCACACGTCAAAATTTCAAAAACTATCACACTCTCCGCCTAAAGGAACAACTTCAAATGTTTTGAAACAAATTACAAAATCATATTCACATGAAAATGAAGAAGAAGATGATGATGATGAAGAAGAAGTTGGTATTGCTGTTGGTGCTACAAGTTCTCCTGTAATTAATAACGGTGTTAGTTGCAACAATGATATTAATTCTTCAAAGCCAGGAGATATTTTTAGCCGTAAAAGTTCTAGACACTTAATAACATGTGATACATTGGCACTAACGACGAATGAACGTTTAGAAATGAGACAATCTTCTTCAAATGTAATGCCATCACATTCATCTGTACAAGATTTAAAATCGCTCAAAAAATCTCAACCACAAATACAAGAATCAGCTGGTGAAGCAATGGTATCCGGTACAAATTCAGAAGATGAAAGTTGTTCTGGATCTTCAGATGAAAGTCCATCACAAAGTCAATCGATAAGTAGTGATACTAATTCATCAAGTTCAAATTCATCTGACAATCATCATCATCATCACCATCATCACCACCATCATCGTAATCAAAACAAATTGGATGAAAATTCTTTAGCAATTGAAGAAGCATTATTAATTGATAAATTTGCAAATAGTCTTGATGGTACACCAATGGAAGTTAGTTGGTCATCTGATGCTGAACCATTTCCACCAGAATCTATAGTATGACATGAATATATTTATAATGAACTTGATTTAAATATTGCTCATAATAATCACATTAATGATGTTGATAATGATAATAATGATGACAATGAAAGTCATGAGAATGAACATGATTATATTTGTGATCCAGATGATAACGATGATGATGATATTGAAGACGAAGATAGTTTTTAATAATTAATTGAAAATAGAATAATCAGCGAAATTTAATCAATAAAATATTATAAACTTTATAAAATAAGCAAAATATTTTGAAATCCTGAATTGAAAACTTTTATAAGTAAAAAAATATATTTTTTTGATTAAATTCGTTCAATAATCAAAATTTCAAACTATCATCATCAGATATAGATTTTGTTTTTTTTGTTTTTTTTATAAAATAAGTATAAATAATGAAAATAATTAATAATGTGAATAAATAAAAATAATAATAAGTTCTTATTATTAGACTAATAAAACTTAAATGTTTTTGTCTAAAAAAAAAAAAAAAAAATTGATGATACCCCCAGTAAATATAAAATATTGTGCTCTAATATCTCTAACATTACAATGAACTCTCACAATAAGTAATTTGGAAAAAAAAATTGTCAATATTTTTTCTTTAATTTTGTTAAGAAAATTTTGTTAAACAAAATTTTCAAATACGATTTAAAAATCTCGAAAAGGAAAAATTTCTGAAATTACACAAAAAAGAAGAAGAAAATAATAAAAATGTTAATTCATTTGTGATTAAAAAATATTAATAAAAATAAAAGAAAAATTAAATGTAAAATTTTTATTTAAATAAATTAAAAAAAAAAGCAAATGATATATGTATATTAAAATAAATTTAGAAAACATTTAAATGTATTATATATTAATTTTTTCACTTAAGAAAATTTATAAATGTTCTTCATATACAGGGTAAATAATATTATAATATTAATTCCAAAAATGCTTAATTAATTTAAATAACTTCATAGAAAAACTTTATATTTATATTTCTATCCGAGTTTTTATTACAAAACAATGATTTATAATTAAATTTTATTTAAACTTATATTTTATAGTTTATTTGTTTTTTCCAATTAGTTTTATATTTTCTTTTCTTGAAATTAATTACACAAAAAAAAAAATACTAACGGATCAATAGTAAGAAAATAAGCTAAAAAATTGACTGAATCAATTTAATTTTTTAAAAACAAAAACAAAAATGAAATCAAATTAAGAAATAGTATTGAAATGTATTAAAAAACAAAACAAAATTATGGTGCGATAGGAAATAAAAATAAAAATATTCATAATTTACAAAATACATGTAATAATGTAAACTTGAAAATTAAACACATAAATAATTAAATATATAAAATTGCTTTAATATTAAATGAATAAAACCAAAATAATAAAAATATAAATTACATATTTTTATCATAACAATGTTAAAATTTTTAAAAAATTTCTTTTTTTATTTAAAATAGCTATTATAGAATTATTAATTTACTATAAATTCTTTATGTTATAAAATTTATTAATTTTATTCAAATTGAAACTCTTTTTTTTTTTTAATTTAAATTACAAAAATTTTTTTTTTGAATTAAATTCTTGTAAATCTTAACATTCAATAATTTACAAATATTTACAAGAATACAAACAATGAATTTATTTGAAAATGGAATCAAATATTGTAGTAAAAATCTTTTTAAAAAAATGAAAAATTTCGAATTAATTTACAATTCGCTATATGTAAAAATAAAATTACTTAACAATAAATATATTATAATTGAAAGAAAAAAAACTATTTTATGTTTTGAAAATGCATAGAATATATTATACACATAGAGTATATATATATATAAAAATAAAATTTTTAATTATTATATACATGTTTTTAGAATTAATTGATATTGTATTGAATTTAAATTTAAATTTTGAATAATAAATAAATAAATGGAAAATAAAGTCTTATAAATATAATTAAATAATAAAAACAAATAAGCTAAAGAAATATAAATTTTGATTTTTTTCATTCATTATTATTATTATACATATATGTATACATAAATACCAATATATTTTTCGCACTTATTTCAAACAATAAAAAAATAACATGAATTTAAATTAAATAATATTTAATATTAGAGGGAAAAACAAATTTAAGATAAAATTTTCAACACATTTAAACATGATTCTATATTTTATTTAGAAAATAAAATATACATAATTTACAATATATTTATTATGAGTATAAAAGAAAAATAAAATTTAGCCACTTAAAATCCACGTACACACACAAAAATATGAAAATTTCAAGAAATTCATAAATCTAACGATTTATAAATATATAATTGGAAAATATATTAAAAATTATATTATAAATTTATTTTAAAAGAAAAAAAAAAATAAATAACCAAAATATGTATTTTTTTTTCTTGATTTTGTAAATAAAAATAAATTAAACTGAGCTCAAATTGCTTGCAAAATGATTAGATTTTAGAAATATATTATAAAAAGTGAAAAAAATAAACACACACAACAAAAAATAATAAAAATTAACAAATCAAAACAAATAAAAATTTAAAACTGCATAAATAAATTATATAATAAATATTATGAATATACAAAAACAAGTTCATTATCAATTAAATTTAAAAATTAAATTTTATTAAAGAAATATAAATTTATGAAAAAACAACAAAAAAAAAACATACACACTCTTGTCGTAACGTCAAAAATTTTGTAAATTTAATAATAATTAATATATATTAAATATAAATTAAAATTAAATAAAAAAAAAAAACATATATTTATACGACAATTACAATTAATGAATTTCAAAAAAAAAAAGTAAAAAGTAAAATGCAAAAAAAGGGATAAATTTAACTTAAAAAATAAATTTGTAATATTAGATTTAATAACAATAATTAAACTATCATTGCAACAAAAGAAAATATAAAAAGTACATGCAAAAAAAAAAATACAAAAATTATAAAAACTACCATTAAAAAAAAAAACAAGATAATATTACTCTTAAATAAATATTGAAAAAAGAAATAAATAAATAAATGTATAAGAATAAAACAATAAAAGAAAAGAGAAGAAAAACAAGAAAAAATTAATAAAATTACTTGTATTTTTCAAAAAATTAAAAAAAAAATGAAAATTTAATTGGTAAAATATAAAAATACATAAATTTAGTTCTTTTTTTTTTTGTGATTCATAAATTTTATTTAAAAATAACAAAATACACAGAAAATCTAATAAAAATTGAAAATTTCATTTAAGAAAAATGAAATCTAAATTATTGGGGCGTTTATGAAAAACACCCAAAATTCTTTTTAAAAAATACGAAAATATTAGTTGTCCTTCCTTTCTTTTCTTAATTTAAATTTAATTTTTATTTTGAAAAAATTACTACTAAATCAATTTTCCAGAAAGTTTTTAATCTCAATTATTTTTGTGTAAAATTGTTCATTTTTTATTAAAGAAATTCAAATAAAATATTTTTATGATAAAGAAGATTCAGATCACAAATCTGAAATGATTTTATTTTAAATCAAATATATGCTTGTTAAGTTTCAAAATTTAATTTAATTTATTTTTATTTAATTTAAATTTTAATTCTTTGCAAGCGTTAATTCTTTGAAGGACCGAATAAACAACTAGATCTAAAACAGTTTGATTAATTTAGTTTATTTTATTTAATTTTTAAAATTGTTAGTGATGTAGTGATTGTGCTCTATTTATCTTTATCCGACCTTTTGAATGTCTCCACAAAAAAAAAAATTGGATTTTTTAATGGTTAAATTCTTGTCCTAAATTATCTTCTTAATATTATTTATGTTTGAATTATTTTAATTAAATAAACTCTATCATTTTATTATAATTTAAAGTTGAATAAGAGGAAGGCAACAAAATTGTCTGCAATGAATTTTATTAGATTACATGATTTACAGATTTCATAAAATTTCTTTTTTGGGAAAATTAAAAAATAAATATTTGTTTATTGTTAAAGAAAATTGTTTATTATAAGAAAATAATTGTATGGTAGTTTCAAATAATTGATATTTTTTTTTTATATTATTAAATAAATAAATCAAAATAAAAACATTTTTAATTGTCTATTTCCCGTCTATGTCTATAATATAACTATCTTTTTATTTAATTATTTTAAAACATACGGCGTATTAAGTTTTTTATATACATTAATTAAATTAAAAAATATTTAAATTTTTATTTTAATGTGTTTAGGTATTTCTGAAACTGAAGCTCTTAAGATTAGAACTGAAAAGCTTTAAAACGTCTAAATTTAATTTGCAAATTAAATTTTGAAAGCTTTGTAATTCCAACAATTAGAACTTGTTTTTCAGAATTACTTTTTGTTTCTTCTTAGTTTTCTTAATTGTTCTTAAATGTCATTTTATAAAAAAATTAAAATTCATTATTAGACATTGTATAACATGAATATACAAACCTATTTTAAATTAATTAATATTTTCTTATATAAATTATGAATTAAATTTTAAATAATTTTCAAAATATATTGAATAAAAAAATTTATATAATATGGAAAAAAAAATTTCTAAATTATATTATTAATATTTGTAGTGTTTCATCTTCACAATTTGAAATATATTGACAAAAAGTAAAAATAATCACTATAAAATGAAATAAAAATATGAAAATTATAAAATAAATTATTTAATAAAAAATTATTTTTTTCTTAAATAAATTTCCCAAAATGAAAAACAAAAAAAATGTTCTCTTTTCAAATTTTCTGTAATTTTTACTTATAACTTAAATTTGATTATTTTTAAAATAAAATCAAAATAAAAAGAAAACTAAATATAACTATTATATTGTATAACAGTTAAAAATGCATAAATTTTACTTTAGTAGAAATGTAGACCGTCTATCTATAATTAATTGTAACAATGTAAAAAATATAATTAAAATAAAACAATTATGTAAAAAAAATAAAATTAAATATAAAATATTAAAAAAGAAACAACACAATTTAATTTAAAAATAAAAAAAAAAAATTCAAAAAGGGGAACAAAAAAAAACTCCTATTTTTAACTTCAAAAAATTATAAATTAAATAAAAAAAAGAAATAAAATAAAATCGAAATTTTGTTAAATATAAAAATTTAATTTTATAATTTTATAAATTATTCGTAATTAATCTTCTTAGTTTTTTTTTTTGTTTTAAATTAATTAAATTACAAATATTATATAACTTTATTTTTACATTATTTTTTTCTATTACGTAAATAATATTTTAATTTTAATTTTAAGAATTATTAATTTTAGTAATGTGATAATTTAAAAAAAAATATAATATATTAAAAGCATATATATAAATAAGATAGAGATATCTATGAATTAATAATATATATATATATAAAAATATATACAGAAAAATTCATAAATCAAAAACAGAAAAAAAAAATATCAAAAAATATAGCAGTTGATTGTTGCAAGAATTTATCAGGTGTTTTTATTTAAAAATATTTTAAATTTTCATTTTAAATATAGGAATAGTCCAGAATACTGGAACTGTATTGAATATCTTAAATAATTTCAAATGTAATTTTAATTTTGATTAATATTTTGAAATTTTTGCAGTGCTTATCAACTCATCTTTAAAATATTAGAGATTTTCATAAATGCAATACTGCAAAAAAATAACTGCGACAAGTAATACTGCAAAAAAAATTATTGAATAAATATTGCAATATATTTTTAAATATTCTATAAAATCAAAACAGTTCATATGATTTAACTGCACTACTCATACTAATTTCGTTATATTGCAAAAAGTTAGCCTTATTTATAAGCAAATTATGTTAGCAGCATTTATTAATGAACACAAACATCGCGCAGTTTTCTCATTTTTAATTTTGTACAGTAACGAAAACGGGTTACGATCCTAGTTATAACATTAAAATAGATACATGTAAATTAACATCAACCAAATTCTACAAGTTCTGTGTTATAAGAATCTTTAAATTTTTTGTAAAATTATCAAATAAAATGGTTAGTTTTCAATTAAAATATACCCATTTACCTTAAAATATTATTTTTTTTTTTATTTATCAAAATGAAATACAATAATAAATTTATTTTTGCAATAATAATAATTATAGTAAATTTTACAGGGTCACATTACAATGTTACAATATAATTATACTTAATTCTTAAAATTATTTTTCCCATTCCTTTGTCATTTCTTTCAGTTTGAATTTTTGAATTTTTCCTGAGGTTGTTTTTGGAAATTCTTTTAATATTTTTAGATATTTTGGAATTTTAAAATGGGCAATATTTCCTTTACAAAACTCCCGGACATCATCAATTGTTAAATTTGGACAATCAGGTTTCATTCGTAAAAAGAGACAAATTTCTTCACCTAATCGCTTGTCAGATACTCCAACAACCTTTATAGAATAAGTGAAAAATAAAATAATTAAATATGATTTATATGCCAAAAAATGTTTAAATGAATTAATGAAAAGTAAATACCTGTGATTCTAAGACATTTGGATGTGTATCCATAAAATCTTCGATTTCTTTTGGATAAATATTTTCACCACCTCTTATAATCATATCTTTCTTACGACCCACTATAGTACCATAACCGTTATCGTACAATATAAATTGATCACTATAGAATAAAAATGTTTTCTTAGTTTCTTTCACTTTAAAATATTTAAAAAATTTAGAATAATTAGGTGTACGTACCCAGTTTTTAGCCAACCATCATTTGAAATAATTTCTTTGGTTTTTATTTCATCATCAAAATATTCTTTCATGATAGCAAAACCTCTCATACATAATTCACCTGATTCTCCGAAATTAACTGTTTTTCCATCTTCATTAATTACCTTAGCTTCCAAATGATCATAAATTTTTCCAACAGTATTTTCTAATAGGGTTTCATCTTCACCACCATATGATGCAAAATCTGCTGCTGTAGCTTCACTTAAACCGTATACGATATTTAAATGTTCTAAATTAAAAACAGATTTAATATCTTTATATAATTGTGGAGTGCATGTTGAACCACCAGTAGCTACAGTTTTTAAGGTACTTGTATCAAAATTATGTTGATTTTTTGCAACTAGCCCATCAATTAACATTGTTGGAGTTCCTAAAAATGTTGTACATTTTTCTTTTTCAATCATTCTAATAGATTCTACAGGATTATATGTAGGAGATGGAATTACTAAAGTCGCCCCATACATTACACTTCCCATAAAATTTGTTAATCCGAAAGCATGAAATAATGGTGCCAATAATAATAAACGATGATGATATTTGGTATTATCTGCAATACCAATTCTTTTTCCATAAATTAAAGCTGAATTAACAAAATTAAAATTTGTTAAAAGAGCTGCTTTAGGTTGACCAGTTGTTCCCGATGTAAACTGAATATTTAAAGGACTATCTGGTTCAGCCATATTGGATATTTTTTTAATATTTTGTATATCTTCATCAATAGGATCTTTTAATAAATCGTTAAATTTAATTATTCCATTCAATTCTTTATTTGTATCAATAATAACTGATTTTAGATGAGGTAAATTTTTTGAATTTAATTCTTTTGTACTGTTATGTGTTTCTAATTCTGGTATTATATTTTTTAATATATCATAATATTTTTGTGTTTTATATTCATCTTGTGCTAAAACAACTTTACATTTAGCTTTATTCAATGAATATTTAATTTCGTTAGCTTGAAGTGCTGGATTAATACATGCTATTACTAAATTAGCTCTTGCTGCCGCTAAAAATGTTATAAACCATTGTACTGTATTTGGTGCCCATAAACCAATATGATCACCGGGTTTTAAATCTAAATTTAATAATTTTGATGCTAAAAGATCAGCTTGATATAATGTTTCTCCATATGTTATTCTTTTATTTTCTGAACATGCAACAAAAGCTTCTTTATCATAATTTTTTTCAACTGAACGTTCAAATTCTTGTCCAAGTGTACGATATGTTAAGGGATCTGAACTTATACCTTGATAATATGCGGGTTTTCTACTACTAGTACTACTGCAGTATGCTCGTGAGACTTTATTGATATTAAATAAATTTTTGATTATTTTGCATTTTGTTATCCACATATTGTTAATTTTATATTTATGTATGTATGTGTATCCTTTGGAGTAACAAAAATAAAAGTATATTGAAATTGCGAGAATTATTATTTCACTTTTAACAATTCGTACTGTACTCTAGAACAACTTACATTATACTAAATTAGGTAATTGAAAATTTTATATTTGAGTGCGAGTATTTATGATAATGATTATTTTTTTGAAAGATAAACACATTACATACGTACTAACATATATATATATACAATAATGTATCGCAAATTTTGTGAGCATAAAATATAATTCTCTTTTACCCGGATAGACAAAATGCGTTTTATATACTCGTATAGATTGTGCATGTAGAAATAATAGTACCCATATTGTTATAACATTGAAAATTGTTATCTAATTATGATACGAGTCTTGATTACGGTAATTTACTTACTATATACATTAAACTACACATGTATATTTGTAAAAAACAATTAATTACAAATTTTTCTGCAGTTGACAAAGGTAGGACGAGAGGTTACGGTTAAATAAATCTAATAATTATAACATAGAGAATTAAAATTTAAAGAAGGGTTTGACAATAAGCTTCATATTTTGACTTATTCTAAAATATAGCTAAATAAATAATTACTTATACTACGATTATTGAGAATTTTGAATAGAAAATTCAATTTATAGTAAATTATGAATTTGGAATCATTACATTATAATTGCATTATGGTAAGCAAATGCATGTTTTAATATTGAAATTGTGAATTTCAAAGTTGTCAATTTAAATTACAATTTATTTTATATGTAAGTTTAATGGCTGTACTATTAATAATTAAGCAGGTAGGTATATAATAATTATTTGAATTGTGATTGAAATTTTGTATACGCACTTATTTAGAATGAAATTTCATTTTCTTTTTTGAAATATTTGAAACAGATTAATTTCAAAATTATCAACTTACTGATTTACAATATTATTAAGGTTGCAAGAACTAAATATTTTTGCTCATATATAATTACAATGAATTCAATTTGATTTTAAATAAAATTTTTTGAATAAATGTAATTAAATAAAATTATTTAAATAATCAATCACGGCATTTATTACTGTGCTTAGTTTATTTCCATTGTTTAATTACTATACAAAGTTTATCATTATCTAAAGATATGTATATAAACAATAAATACAAGATGGCAACACTAATTTTAGAGCAATTGTAAGTCAAACATTTTCAATACTCAAATATAATAATTTTAATTTAAAAAATAATGTTAATAATAAAAGGGTGTAGGGAAAGTGCTCTCATTATTATTTTGAAATCTTAATTATGATTTTTGTTTATTGGGCTGAGAAATTCTTTTTTAAAAGAGAATTAATATAGCTAGCTTTGAAAAAGTATTTAAGTTAAACCTTAGACTTAAATATTCAAGTTTTTCTTATTTTATAAAACTAATTTATTTATAGTTCCAGTAATATAATATGTATATATATATTATATATGTATGTGTATTTATTCATATTATATTTTTACATACATGCTTTAAGATATCTTATGAAAATTTTCAAGTCATGTTCTTATCATTTATTTTTGGAGATATTTTGTTTTAAATTTTTTATATCAGAGAAGCTTTTACTAAAATTCAAATTCGTATTTATTTGAATTGCACAGAATTTTCTACCAGTTCGATAAGAAGCGATTAATATTAAATGAGAAAAAATTATAATTTTCTTGAACACGCTTACATTGCACGAGTAAAGAAATTTTGTATTTTGTAAATATTGTGAATTTTTAATTAAAATTTGAAATATAAAATTCGGTTTAGTCCAATATTCTGATATTGACCACAGAATGTAATTATTGAATGTGGCTGCCTGTGCCGAATTTCTTCGCAAGACACGCCCAATTATATTATTTCTTTTATGAAATGAATGGAAATTTTTGAATTGAAATGAACAGTAAATGAAATTCACTCACAAATTTAGAATTGCAAAAAATTATCTTGAAAATGTGAAAATTTTGTGTGTAGTATACATACATTATTGAGAAATTAAGGCGCAAACACTGAGACAAGTTCAGACATCGAAACTTCAGACATAAATTAAAATTTGTTAATAAAATAGTGATAGACATTTTACTCCGATATTAAACGCAAAAATGTTTCACAACTCGTTTTTGGGGAACTCGTTTGAATCTCAAATTACAATAAAGCTTTTGAAATTTAATTCAGAAATCAATTTTATATTCAAATATTAATTACAATGTTAAAACACAAATAAGTTTTAATCATTTGAAAAGTTTAGTAAATTAAAAAAATGCATTTATTGAGAAATTTAATTTTGAAAAGAACGAGCATATTCAACTATTAAAATTTAATAATGTATTAAAATTGCGCGAAAATTTTCTATATAACTAAAAAATAAAATCTTAAAGCTCTCATATTGAATTTTAAACTCTTTTTCAATTTTTCAATTTTGAAATCGATATACCAAAATATTGTAATTTTTGAGATATTTGGGTTTGGAAAAATTTCACAAAATTATCTATGTGCATACTTATTATTATTATTGTAAAGAGGTGTACAACAAAGTATATACAAGACCTTCTATTATTTATAGAATATTTTTATTACTATTTATTACTAAGGTAATCATTTTAATTTAATTAATTTTTTTTATCATTTAATTGAAATAATTAATTTTATCATTTAGTTTACGATTTTACTTGATTTATGAATTTTATAACTAGAAAGTAACAAAATCAAGTACCACACAGTACACATACCATACGTTCACATAGGTTGACAATTTTTATGATAGCCTAATGAAATTCGGCTATTGTTAACCTTAACATGAAGTTATTCAGCTTCACAGTCAATGAAGGAAAACTTTTGTGAATTTTATTTATACTCAAATTTACTTATTTTTTTTGTTATTAGTATTGTAATTTTTCCAGTAACAAAAACTAATGTCAAAAAAAATTGTCGCTTACATCGTAAAGACATGTATGTAATTTGACGTATGGATTTTGACAGAGTGTAATATATGCAGATCATAATAATGTGTGAACCCAAAGTAGAATAGCCATGATGTAAGGTAATATTAATAGTGTGGTCTCATTTTCAAAATTTTTTTTTAATAAAATTAAATTAATGCCATTATTATCCATTAATAGAAATAAAATAATGCCCTATTACTACAATTGAACCTAAACTAATGCCTATATATTGACAGAAATTACAAAGTTTTAAAAGTGAAATAAATTCTAGCAAATTTTATAGTGATAATTAAATACACAGTATAGTAGATAATAACGATATTTAGTCGTCTAAGTATAATAGCCGTCTATAAGTCTAAATAAGTAATAAGCAAATGAATTCAAAATTAATTTGTGAATCGAACAAAAAGCAGTTTTGATTAAAATTTACGATTGAGAGATTCGGCGTTTAATATTTTCAGTTTTATCGGCTCTCGAATTGTATTATTAAATATTCTCCTCTCGAATTACTAGAGAGTTCAGAGAGTTAAGCGATAAATTTAATTATAATATTCATGTGATTTATTTTGAAGCGATAAAATAATTGATTTCGTAATTCTGAATGACAAGAGCTCTTTTGTTATAAAAATGTTTCTGTTTTTATTTTTTATTTTTTTGTATAATTGAAATAAATTGAATTTTTCTATGCATAAATTTTTCGTGTGCACTTTCCGCATTACTTGGGAGTAATGCTATCCGCATATAGTGATATTTAGCTACCCGCATTATTCTAAAGCACATATGAAATTACAAAATTTATTCTTAAATATATTTTTTTATAAGCCTAATTTCATCTGGGATGAAACTTACGATTTCTCTATTACAAGATTTTATACTTGACCACAATTCTTATTGTAGTTTAGGTACTGCGAATTGTGTATTTTACAGAATTAAATAATACTTTCCTTATTAATAATTTTTTGCTTAAACTAATAAGAATTTATAATATGTGTAGTCAAGTTGCTTATATAGATTTTAGACGTTCGTAAGTTTATAATGTAGTATTCTGAAATTTCAATTTCGTAATTGGAATGATGACTTTCATGTAAAAAATTTGTTATGTATTTTAAAAATACTTCATGTCCATACTTAATAATATTATTATATATTTTGAACAATTCAATAATGTTTTCACTAATACAATATACTTTTGAAAATTAAATTTAGTAAATAAATAAATTTTTTATTTCAGAAGTGATTAATATTATTATAATTGAAACTTTAGTATAAAAATCTATTTACTAAAATAAATTTCATAAATTTTATAAAGTAAACTTAATTCTACTTAATTTATTTTCTTAACATACTTGCATTATAATTGCTATGGCTGTGTACAAAATTTTAAAATTAAAAAATTTTTTACTTAAATCTAAATTATTGAATTATTCATGTTTTAAACTGCATTAATTAAATTTACAATTATTAGCAAATAAAATCGAAATATTAAAATAATCACTTAAATTCTATATAATTTAATTTTAATAATATTAATTAAGTTTTTTTATTTTATTTTGTAGCTTATTATTATAGATGGCGCCATCTAAGCCTCTAGCAAATGGTGATTTTGGATTTGTTTGCAAATAATATTTTCCAGAAATACTAAAATATAAATTTTTCTTAAATATTGTTTAAAATTTGATAAAATCTAAATGTTAATTTGGGAAAAAAAAAATACTTTTTTGGACAATTTATTCCCATTTTAGCTAATGGTAATTTCATAAATTGTGATCGAATACGAAAATCCTGCCATGATAAAGCTTTTGCAGCAAAAAATTCAACATTATATAAATTCGTAACACTTTCAGCCCAAAATTTCCATGCTTGATGATGACTACACACATCTACAAATAGGAAAAAATTAATTTTTTTAATTTGCTTTACTCACCTTTATCCAATTATATTTTTTTTTATTTAATTTACCATTTTCGCTTAATATTTTAAAGTTTCTTTTAGGGCAGCTAGGTTGTGTAAAACTACCACGATTAGGCCAAAAATCAACAGTTCCAATGCTAAGTGGAGCCCCATATATTCTGAGTAAAAAAATAATTCAGTAAAGAAAATCGAATTTCATTAAATAAAATAAAATAAAATGAAATTTTATTTTAATTTATTTAATGAAATAAGAAGGAAATTTTGAGAAAAATCGCAAAATTATGGTAAGACAACATTTACAAATAATTTGAATTTAATTTACTTACAATCCATCTGTATGAATAATGTCAACAAAATCTCCGTCATCAGCATTAAGAGCCTTTCGTAATGGAAATATATAAAAGCCTGGGAAAGCAGGATCTAATCCGGTTATTCTAAAATTTTAAAATATGAATAATAAGCACTTTTTTTTCAAATTTTTTTTTGCAAATGTGCTAAAAACGAAAAAACTATACACACTACAAAAAGTTTACAAAAGTCTTACCTTGGAATTTTAATTTCTCCATCTGAATTTCTTTGTATACTTCTACCTATAAGACCTGCTAATTGTGCACCCAATGAATGACCAATAAAATGAAATTTTTCTAAATTCATACCATTCTTAAAGAATCTAATAAAGACTTCACCTAATAAATCACCTAACTGAAAATTAAATTAATTTTAAATTTTTTCTTATTAAAAAAATAATTTATTTTTGATTCAATTACTATTAAAGCATTTTTAACAGCATCACTAATATACCGTCCACTAGCCAATTTTTTCCAATCCAATGTAATCAAATTAAATTCATTGATTTGTGTTAAATATGCTTTTATAATTGTTTGAACACTTTCAGCTGATTGACTTTCAGTATAACCGTGTATATAACATGTTGTTCTTTTACTATTATTAAAAAATGGATGATTTAAAATTTTCCAGTTCTCTTCAATACTATAAGTTTCATTGTCACTTGTTTCAGGTCTTCAAAATTTTAATAAACAATTAACTTTGACATTTCATAATAATTTTGACACTTACCCATAATAATAAACAAATTTTATTGCTGTTAAGTTGACATATTGACCATTTGTTGTTGTAAATGCTAAAAAAAAAATACATAAGAAAATGAAAAATTTATTTAAATTTTTAGAAGTTGACAAACTATTTTGAATTAAACATAGAAATTTGATGACAAATTAATTAATTTTTCAATAAATTTTATGAATTGTTTAAATTATTTGCTTAAATCATTGAAATATTTTCGCAATTAGATTTGCTGTATGACATTATTTTTTAAATATGTAGGTTGTTTTTTTTTAGGATTATCATAAGAATTTATTCTATGCATGAAATTAAATTTTTGTAAATTACGAAAATTCTATGCAAAATTTTCACTTATATTCTAAGATCCACTTTCGTATAGAAAATTTTTTCCGTTGAAGCTTCTTTTCCGTTTGTCAATTATGCTGCATAACATATTAATAATTTTTAATTTAATTTATTTTAATTTATTAGCTTAAGTACTGTTCTCCTCCCTTTATATTTACACGAACCATCTATACATTTCATTTTGATCTTTGAGACATCTAGCGATTTTTAAATGAACTGTATACGAGTATAGTTTTTATTTAAACCAAAAAAAAGTACGGAAATTCAACACTTGGCAGTGAACCTATTACAAGTACACATTTCGTTCCAAATTGAGCTTGTTATGTTATATTTTGTATGGGGCGAATTTAATCAGCACCTCTGCCATGTATCTCCACACCAGATCATTAGAACTCGAGATTCACGGCCCCGATAAATTATAACAGGCCCGCCAAACACAACGATTCATGAGAATCTAAGTCCAAGGCCTAGAGAAATCTGTACCTAGAGCGGGCCAAGCCATTACAATCAAATAGGACATTAGTGGAGTTCTTCGTCCACCAGTTGCAGAATCTACATCGCTGCGTATTTGATTCGCCAATTTTTTGTAAATATGAGTTAAAGGACCCATGCCCAGTCACAAACCAACAATGGAACCGTTAGTGAAGAGCGGTTCAGCCTTACAATGTCAGGAATGCCCGCCATTCGTCGGCCAAATAAGTCTTTCGACCGCGACAGCTCCGCACGGAAGCGCCAAAGCTCTGAAGCGCGGCTCTCCACATTGGCCAGATAATCGGCCTCCTCATTTTCAGGTATTCCTGTATGTCCAGAGGCACACATAAGAGTGGTTTTGTTATTAACAACCAGTTTTTTCAGATTGTTGAAGCAACTCCACAAAACTAGATTATTCTTATATTATTTACATAATATTTAAATTTACATAAATACGAGTATTATACAAATATTGCACACTTTTTTATTTCTATCTATTCAAATTAATATCAGAAATACTTATAAATTAATATTTAATATACACAAAACTTTATTCCTGTTATTCTAGTTACATGTTATATTTTAAGTAACTTTTTATATACTTTTATAAGATTAAATATAATTATAGTTATTCAAATTATATTTAAATTAAATATTCACATATCTTTTTTATTATAACGCCATTAATTTTACCAACAACCACAAAAAATAAACACTTACACGCAATCATAATAATTAAAAGAGAATAAAATTTAATCATAGTTTTTAATTTACTTTGAAAAAAGCAAAAAATTAAACCATTAATAAAAATCAAAAACCAAAAAAAAAATCAATCGCTATTAAATTTGTACTTGATAGAACGAAAGTTGAATGTTAACTGTTGAATAGGTTCTAAATAAAAATTAACCAAGCAAGAATTACCAAAAACTAAAAAAATAGAGAAACAACATTAAAAATAAATAAAATTAAAATTTTAGCATAAACCGTTATTAAATGTAGGGGAAGCTTTTTTCTTTACTTTTTGATTTTACTGCAGTTGCAGTGCAAAATTACGTTGAACATTAAATTGAAAACCTAAAATAATATTTAAAGTTTTTGGTTTTTTTTTACCAAAAACTTCAAATATTATTTTAGCATTAAAAAAGTTAATCAGTACAATTAGAGGATATTTAATTATTAATAGCAGTAAAGATTAATTTGCTTTGGTATGCGGCTTGTGAGGCGGGACAATTTTTTTAAAAGTACCGTTTTTAAGGAAGACTCTTTATTTCAAAACTTTTAAAATATTCTTGCGTAAAATTATTATCCCGCTTAAAAATAACTTTAGATAAATAGCTACAATTGAAGACGGTACAGATATTGTATAGAAACATACTGGAGCAATGATTATACACATGTGCTTTAATATTTCGGTTGAATATATAATTAGTTACGGCAGGTATTACTTCTCGTCTAGTTATGATTTTTTTTTTTTTGCTTGCCTACACAATATGGAAAAACTAAGGAGTTCCGAATGTAGACACTGTATTATATAAAACATTGTCTTTCACTGTAAATTATTTTCTCGAGTTGAATATAGGAGACGTAGAATAATGATATTTGGAAGCAATTTGATGGGTCTCAAGCTGACAACACCAGAGCTATGAAACGAGAATAAGTGGATTCTGATGGTAACAAGAGAGAATATACTAAAATATTTAGACGGTCAAGTAGAGACAAAAGTTATATATAAAAAAAGAGGAACGGTACGATCTGAAGAAATGTATAAACAGTAATCATTGGTTAGGTTATAAATTGGACTCCCAGGAGGCTTTGTCAGTTAAACATCTAGATATTATTAATGAAGTTGATTCTAGGTCCACATTATTGGGGTGTACATTTCCATCAACAATCTTCTTACTACCGAACGTCCCATATATAGCACAGAAAATATCATTAATGGTCTATCAATTTTCATTTAAAATCACGAATGGAGTCAGAAATCAAGTATCCCCCTTTTGTTATTAAATTTTTTAATTTTCTATACAAAGTTTTATTTATGCATCATTAAATTTCATTACACATTTTAAAATCATTCAGATTATGGGTGGCTTAATAACAGCAAATACACAAAATAATAAAAAAATTAAATGTTTTAATTTGTATTTTAAACAAAAATAATATTTAAAATAAAAAACTATAATTATTTTAATTATTTATATACAGTTGTAAAAATTAAGGTATACAAAATTCAAAACGAAATTGAAAGTGAGCTGAGCATTTTGTTCCGATTATAAAAACATTTTTTTATTATTTAGAAAAAAATTTCACACGAAATCGCATTAAGAGTATAAAAGAAATGACCACAAAGTTATAAAAAAGTGAATGAGTGCTGGATAGAAACATGAGTTTGCAGTTCAAAGTTTAAAATATTTTGGTGTCAAACAAACCTTTACATAGTGTACATTTAAAAATTTGAACTACAACGCTTCATATTTATTTTTCACGCTCCAAATGTCTATTTATTTTGTTTCCGGCATTTTTTTTCTTCACTCTCATTTTGTGTGAAATGCATTTAAATTTAAAATAAAAAAATTATTTCTTTTTATATAAATTCAAACTTTGAACGAGATGAAATCTATGACTTGGCATATGTGATGTAAATTAGTTTGCTTAAATTCAAACAAATTAAAACAAGTTGATTTTAGTTACTTGTAACATACGTTAGTACTCGCGTATATGTGCTGCGCTATAAATTGCTTTCTGTTCGTAAATGAGCAGACGGACGGAGAATGTATCAAAACTATTTAAAATGCAATTTTGAACAAGAATACAGTAGCATTTGCTTATATGGGCTTGGAAATTTGAAAAAAGCTACGGTTCCGAGAAAATAAAAATTCAAAAATTGAAATTTCTCTAATTTTGGAAGAATAGGAGTTGAAAGTAAGCGTTAACCCGACAAAATAAAGTATTTATTTATTTTTTCAAACTGTTTACACTTATTATATTACACCATTACACTCATACAGCTAACCGCCTAAGAGAAAAGCGATGTAAAAAATTTGAGAAAGCAAAATGGGTCTCAGATATAATGGGTTAATTTCAGCGCCCATTGTACCATTTGTAACGGATGCCTGTATCCTGTTTTGCAGTAGAAAAGTATAGTTGTGATCTTTTTGACAGCACAGAAATAGACAAATTATCGTAAATATTATTACATTGACTGTATTGGCAAACAACTTTAATGAAGCAAAATGGCAGAAAAATTTTGTTCTATGGAGATATAAAGGTTGCTGCCAAAGATACTTCCAGTTTCTTTCTTACCTGGTGTAGAAGTTAACTAAATCGCACAGACTAATTCGTAGGAAATGCACCAACGCACAGACAAACAAATCTAAATGCACACACAGACAATTTTGTAGGAAATACACGAAAAAGTAATTTGTATTGTTTCGATAAAGCGTAATTTCGCATATCTGTATTGAGAGCGAAAAATTTTGATGGTTGCTGTTGATACTTGAAAGCCTAACGAGAAATTTGTAAATTCCTAAATATTATTTAACAAAATACCAAATACATAAAATATTAACTAAGTGGCATCAATAATTAAAAAAACTTTTTCCTATATAAATCAATTTGAAGGCTCATACGAGTAAGCTAATGAACTATAGTAACGAGTAAGTTAATGAACTAATAATAGTAATTAGCGAATTTTCTATTTAAAAGTGAAATCTTTAAAGAATCTTGTAACATTTAAGCTCATAAACAAATTTCTTATATAAAGCAAGAATGTAAAATTATTTAAGCAAATTTTATAACCAAAAATTATATAGCGGCAAATTTAAATGATTTATTGTACGAGTATAAGGAATTAAGTTTGGCGGCTTATGTATGCAACTAAAATGCCTGCCCTTCTCTAATTTTGCAAATTTCTTAATACACAATACAAAATCCAATAGGTTATTTCTAAAAAATTTTTAATTAAAAAATTATTTATTATAAAAAAAATTTCAATTTAGTACGCTATGCAAAGTATATGAAATCGAAATTAAGGTGTTAAGGTTATGAAGAATTTCGTAATTTTGATTTTATATTTCTTTTTGCAGCATACCAAATTTCTTTATTGGAACTTTATTTTATGCAATTAAAATACACAAAAATTATAATCCTAAAATTATTTTAGATTTTTCATACAAGATTAATTGGAATTATTGTGTACTTTGTCTCTTTTTTATATTAATTACATAGAATTAATGAACTATTCAAGTGTTAAAAATCTTTTGGTACAAAATCAGTTCAATCTTCTTGCAAAATTTATTGTTACCTTCAATTTTTGAAAAGCTTCTGAAAACAAAAAAAAAATCTAATATACGGCTAGCACATAACCAAGAACGAATAAGATGTTTTCAAGAATTATGGAAGTAAATGTAATACTAGAACGTTCAGTATTCATGCCAAATGCTTATACCTAAAAGAAAATAGCTAAGGTTTAAATTTTCTGGACCTGATTTTATTAAAAAGTTTGATGCCATTAACAGAAAGGAGCTAAAGTTTAACCAATTAAATTTATATTGATTATTTATTTAGATCGTTCGAAAATGTAAAGTAAACTCGCGTGTGGCTCCAGATCAAAAACATAAAAGACAGTTTTGTGTTAATCGCCCAATAAGTGGAATCTGAAATTTTTCAAAAATTGATCGATTTTTTTGTAAAAGAAGCTAAAGTATAAAATAAAGGAAGATAAAGAAATAGCTTAAACAAAGTAATTGGAACTGGTAGACCGAAATGCAATAGAGGAGTGCATTTCTGTTAAGAGTGCAACTTCAATATGAGATTTGGTTTGTTTACAATACCGCCCTTGTTAAATACAATACACACATTTGGAAAATATAGCAAGTTTCAATGGAACTGGAAAATTGTATAATATTCCGGTTTAAGAATATTGAAATTGATGTTGTAATAAATCTTTATAAAAACTATCTTGGATTTAATTTCTTCTTTTTTGATAAGAAGCTCACTTTTTGTAAAATTCGAACTTCTGTTAGTTTTTATGTAAAACTAAAATGCCATAGAATTCTTTGTATTCAACTCTTCTTAAATTTGAATTCTAAATTCGTTCTACTTTCAATTTATTCGAAATTAAATGTATACATACATAAATTATAACTGGCCACTGTCAATCAATTTACAAAATAATTTTTTTTTTTGGAAAAATTAAGTCAATGCTATTGAATTTGTTCTTACTCGTATATATAAGCTGAAATATTTTAATGATAAATTAAAAAAACAAAAATAAAATATAAAAAATTAGAGTTGAAATCTACCTGTGCATAAATATACAAAGCAAATTGAATAAATAGCATAATTTTTAAATGTCGCACCCCCAGAGGTAGCCGAAAATACGCCCATTGAAAAATGTTAAAACACTTCAAAGAGGTTTTATATTAAATTCTAACTCTAAATTAAACATAAGAGTAAAAATTGAATTAAAAGATGAATTCAATTCCATTTGAACCAATATTGAAATTTTGGAAAGGCACTTATGAGCTAATAGCTTTTGATTTTCGTAAATAAATTTTTAGCTATTCAAAGTAGAATCATCCCTAGGAACCAAAGTAGGAGCCAGTGTTCGAAAATTTTCTGCCGATAAAATAGTAAAAGGTGTATAAAATTCCTCAATGAAATAAAGCTGCCCTGTAAATGGCAATGCACAGTATAAAAAGAAATATCAGTCAGTAATAAATATTGTAATCGGTTATTCCAGGAGACACCTAGG